TCTTCTGAAACCCACTCTCAGAGAAAAACTTTTAATGTACGAGACTTTGATTGCTTCATCAGGAAATGACTAGCTTGAAAGCTTTATCCAGTTGGGGAATTAAGGTGGCAATTCTTTCCCCGTGGAACACACAACCCGAGTCGATGCTCTGTGACACGGCAGTTGAATTGGCTGAAAGACCAAGACCAAGAAGATGAATGTGAGAGACGCGTGTCCTTTTTTTCGACATAAGCCTATTTGGAATTACTTATAAATAGCTTTTCAATTGATTTACAAAATACAAGGTAAATGTGTGAGACAAATTTTGTCTTGGCTTATGTAAAATGTGTTTATAAATCATTTTAAATGTTATCCCAAACAGGCCAATAATGAGCTTCATACGCTCTTATCAATACTAATGTTTGGTTCTTAGTTAATTATGCTCAAAGTTGCCAATATCGTACAATAAATAAGCCGAATAATCAACAGTACAAGTGTAAAACTAATAGCAGAAAGGTGAATGGTAGAGGGAAGACCCTGAGTCAACGTTTTATAAAGCGTGCCATAGACGAGGAACACATCAGAAATTTTGAAAAAGCTCATGTGACTATAGGGTGCGTTTGAATTGACACTACTTAAAATAACTTATTTTCAATCTGATTTTTAAAAAAATAAGATTAGGTAAAAGTTAGGTTGAATAAGGTGATTTATATTTGGATTGAATTTTATAAAAGCTAGTTTGTAAAGTAAAAAAGTTATTGAATAATCATTGATTAAGTAAGTTTAGTTTGTAGAATAATCAAAATGGGTATGAATTTTATTATATAATAAAAAATGATTAAAAATATAAAGTTATAAAATATAATAATTTAAAATTATTATAATGGGAAGAACTTATGTTTGATGAATAAAATATATTTATATTAGAAATTATAGTAATACAAAATTTTTTTAACCAAATAATATTATATAATTAATTAGATGATATACTTTACATAATTTATGTAAATATAAAATAAAAATAATATTAAAAATAAAAATATTATAAAAATTGTTAAAAATTATTTTCATTTAAGAGAATATTAAAAATGAATAACTAAAAATTGATTGGGAAGTACAAGGAACATATAAAAAGAAGCATAAGAACAACATAAACATAAGGGCAAAAGTATCTTTTAATTTTAAAAAATTTCTTTTGCATAAATTATAAGTAGGTTTTAGATATTTTTACAATCATACTTAAAAAAAACATCTTTTAACTTATAAGTCATATTGGCAAAAAAAAAAAAAAACTATTACAAACAACTCTCAAATTTATAAATTGACTGTAAGCTATTTTTTTGCCTACTAAGACACCCTACCAAACAGGCACTAAGTTGCTGCCTAATAAAGAAGCTGCATCACTCTTCAGATTAGACATGCATATTCATGTTTCCTTTTGATCGACATGCCAATACAAGTAAAAGATGACATTATATGAGGATAATATGGAATGAAAGTGCAATTTTTAATTATTACGTTTAACAGCATTTCGTTTGTACGCTTATGAAGATATAACTTTTACACTAAGGCCGAGATGGATAAATAGTGCAAATGAATAATGAATATGCACTCCTTGGCTTTGCAAATACTCCTGCTCCATTAGAACTCATCTCGGTATACCTTCATGATCTGTAATCGTACCTGTTTTCTCAATCAATTTTGGAATTAGTTAAACTGTCTTCAACTGTAGAGTGTTGAAAAGCTTACGTTTTTGCCTCCGATCAATGCTTTTTGTTTCATGAAGTGATTTGAGAAGGATTTGATGAAAAGGAGATTGAGAAAGATGCTTACAACAACATGGAGGTTCTAGAGAGCTTCAATAATAACCAAATGAAAGTTTAAGGATTAACGCTCAAATAGTTACATGATATAAAGAATTTATTACAAAAATTTGAAACCCAGAAGCTTCTTTACAAATTGAGGTCAACTATAGGAAATAAAGTACTCCTCCGGTCCTTATTATAAGACCCAATTTGACTTTTTATTTGGTCATAATTATAAGACCCAATCCATTTTCTCTCTTATATTTATGTATTTTTTTTCCAAGATAATCCTTCTAATAATGATAGTTTTAACCAATATACTTAATTAGCAAAGATATTTTAGGAATAACAACACTTATTTATTATAAATAACCAACTTAACTTACTTCCTTAATCTCCTCAAATAAGTCAATTGGATCTTATAATTAGGACCGGAGGAGTATTATTTTTTAAATTAATACTTTATCAAGAAAGAAGCAGAGGGGCCTATATACGAATATGACATAGATGTTCTTGCCTAATTAATATCCTTGTCTCTCAAGTTTGATCATTCGTTAATGGCAATTTTATATGGACCCAGTTAAGACATGCATAAAGTTCTATCTTAAACTGAAATAATCATTTATTTTCAAGATACCATTTTCCTCATAATTCTCTAATCATCTAGGCACCAGGGCTCCAACCATTTTATTGGGGCTTGATGGTCAGTGATCGAGGAAGTTTTTTCTTTTACATAAGGATAACATGGAACCATTCTTTTCCCAGACGGACCATTTTGGGTTCGCATGGATCATCACAGCCTGATGTGGGAAGTAAACCACATGATGAGTTCGTTGTGTCGTCGAAGGGGAAGTAAATGTCTCCAAGACCTTCACAGTGAAGAGGCTATATATATATGGACACGCAGCTGAGAGAGGAAGTAGAAAACACCACAGACAAAGCAAAGGAAGCAAAGAATCAGGAGTAACCATGCTAAAATTCATAACTTTTGGAAGCCAAAGTATGCGAATTCTCATGACATTGACAACCTCCTTGGCTAAACCTTTGTGTCTGTAATGGTCCAATGAATCTGTGTGTTCACTACGTTCGCTGACTTGGACATTGACTTTGAACAAGACTTGGAAAAGTTGCCTGGAAAATAAGGGTAAGGGCTAACCATTCCTACTCAGCTTCCTCAAATGTCACGTTAGCATGACTTGAATAATAGTCCATGGTTTACGCGTGTGGCCCAAGACATCAATGAAGCAATCTCTAGGCCTTCTCTGTACACGATGTTTACGCGTGTGGCCCAAGACATCAAGAACTTGATTGGATAATTGGAGTCCAATGAAGACAAAGAAGACAAGTAAAGAGAAACATGATGCTTCTGATGTTGACAGGGTTCTGGAGATTATTTTAGGGTATTCAAAACGCGTTTTTGTCATTTGTTCAGATGATGTGAAAGCATAGATAATTATATGTTTTTATTCCTGATGGAAACCCCAGGATGGTTACAAGATAGAAATAAACAACAACTTATTTTACTTTAGAATTACAGTTATACTTAAATATAGACAACAATTTATTTTAGTTGAATGATTGTTGTACTCATGCAAATTTAAAATCTAAAACACAGGTTTTGTTTCTTTCATGTTAATTATACGAGCAACTTGTTTTACTTTAGAATATAAATAATACTCAAGTTACATAGCTGAAAATGAGTAAAGAGGAAGTAAAAATACCTATTAGCAATCTTAGCTTCATTCCAAGCACGTCTTTTTTTTTTTGTCTCAATTATATCGTTTAAGTAGATATGAAATGGACAAATTAGTGTCAGAGTTATTTAGAATAAGTAGGGCTATAGTTCAGGAATTGCTTTGGAGAGCTAACTTTGAGCCTAATATTACATTTGTAAAATGTTATTGTTTGTGGCAATGGTTTTTTGAAATGTAGTGACGAAAAGAGATTGAAGAAGAAAGTTGTGCACAATATTTTTAAGGCGTGCATAATATTTCTTTTTAAACTTAATTTGCCCTACCTCTTTCAGTGTGAAGGGATGAATTAGGTTGATTGGCAAATTATTTTGGTGATCAAGATTTACAAGTCTTTAATTCTATCTCCAATTTGATGTTTTCAATATCAACTCCTTTGTAAGGAATTGGAAGATTTAATTCATATAAGTATAACTTATGAAAATTACTTCATCCATATTCAAGCCCTTCATATAACAATATCTTAATCTAATATATCGTGATTTATCATTATCAACTTTATCGTAGGATCCAAAAATAGACTGACTAAAAAAAAATATTTGCCTTACCTTAATACTAAATTTCTTTTATTTGACTCCTAAATTGTTTTTCCTTAAGAAAAGTGACAAGTTATTAAGCACTTTAAATTGACTTGACTGCTGAAATCGAAAGTTTCACCGCTAAAATTTGAAATTTCCTGTCCGTGACTTCTAAGAAATTTTAGAAGAACTTGTACAGAATTCGCTCCCTAGCCATCAGATCAAACACCCGCCAATTATGGCAGTTCCACGGGTGGGAAAGTCGCTGGTAACAGAGGGAGGGAAATTTTCTTTCAATTAATCAACGGGCATTTTGGTGAGGATCTCTTTTTTCCTTTTTGCTGAGAAGGAAGGTTTTGAAACATAATTTACTAATTTTGAGGTCCTATTGAGCATAATCAGAAAAGTCTCCTTTTATTTAAAAGCTAATATAAATATATTATACTAATGAATTAGATTATATAATCAAAATTACATAAATTATTAACCATGTAATCCATATTTAATCTTGCATGAATTAATTAACGTGTGGACATCTATATCTTCCATGAATTTCTTTAGACATTTATACTTTTCATTTTTAGCCTAATTAATAGAATTTCAAATATTATTTCACATTTATTTTTATTTTGTAGATAAAATTAAAATTTCATTATTTTCTAATGATACATCAAACAAATGCTCTATAATCATTGTTCTATTACACTAAATTGCCTATGATATTCCTTGATGTAAGCAGGCAGTATGTGAATGGAATAGATGAACGGAAAGCCTATATGGCTAGAAGCAATGATACTTAAAAAGGAGGGGTGAACTAATTGCAACGTCTTCATATTATATATGAGTATTCAACAATCCCCAACAAAAATTAATTCAGTTGGTAAAAAATTAACTCATAACTCGTATAGTTATTCTAGTTCTGACCCTGGTTCTTGTAAGTGTCAAGACTCAACTAATTACTTATCTAATCATTTATATATTAAAAAAAGAATAACCACGTGCTCAAAACTTCTTAGAAATTAAACGCTAAACAACTTTCCTTGATCAATTTTTCCATTTCCCCATTTTTGGATTATGTTGTTTGGAGAAGATGATGACTTGAACAACTTTACCTGATCAAAACTTATTGAAGTCACTGCTCGTGCTTTTATATTGGCTTTATTCTTTGAAACTTCACCACCATCTCCGTCTTTCCCAGTATCTTTGTCTTCTTCTTCTTCTGCTACTTTCCCACCTTCGATTTTCCTCAAAAGCTCTAAAACCTCATCAATGGAAGGCCTCATCTCTTTATCTATCTGCAAACACTGAAATGCCAATTCTCCTACTGCAAACACCTTCTTTTTCACCTCACTATCCTTCTCAATCCCCAAACATGGATCCACCAACTCCTCAAATTCATTCCTCTGAATCTTCCTAACTGTAAGACCCGCCAAGGTAATCTCATCTTTGTTCCTTCCCATATCAACTGCTGGCATAGAAGATATCAGCTCCATAAGCACAACCCCAAAACTATACACGTCACTTTTATCTGTCAGCCTAAAGCAGTAGTGATATTCTGGGTCAAGATAGCCTGGTGTTCCCTGTGGAGCCGTAGAAACATGCGAGACATCATCTGGGAACAACCTAGAAAGTCCAAAATCCGCAAGTTTAACATAGAAGTTCTTGTCAAGGAGAATGTTGTTGGTTTTGACATCACGATGGATGATGCCAGAGGCATGAAGGTAAGCCAAAGCACTGGCAGTTTCTATGGCGACTTTGATTCGAACAGGCCACGTCAACAATGCAGGATTTGCAGAGCTGCCACGGAGGTGACTGGCAAGGGTGCCATTTGGGATGTATTCATAGACAAGAAGGAGCTCATGGCTCTGACGAGAAGTGCAGCCATAGAGGCAGACAAGATTTCGGTGACGTAGGCGAGTGAGGATCTCAACTTCTGTCATGAACTGTTCTACTCGCTTGTAGCTGTGGTTGAATAGGTGCTTCACTGCAACTTCACGCCCATCTTGGAGCTTTCCTATAAATAAAAGGAAATAGCTTTAAAGTTGAAAACTTTGGCATGAAAAGTACGAGATTAAAGCAATTGAGAAGGGGACCATAGTAAACAGAGCCGTAGCCACCGTCTCCAAGTTTCTTGGAGGGGTCAAAATTGTTGGTTGCGCCTTGAAGCTCCGTGTAGGAGAAGATTGGGACTCCAAAAAACAGTCTGCCACTGTCTAGGTCTGCATCAGTTGGGCGTTGATTCGTTGATCGAAGTCTGACATGGGACATAGCATTCTGTTTGTGTTTATAGAGTCCGAAGCAGAGCAGCAACGCTAATGTCAGAATGCCTAATCCCACTCCAAAACCTGAGTACAATTATAAGTCTTTAACTCAGATTATCTGTGTTGTTTCTTAGGAATCTCATAATGTGAGTACAATCAGAATTTCATAACTTCTATATACTTATACAGGATCCTAAATCATTATGTGGGAAAGATAGCTGAAAATGAGTGAACATGAAGTAAAATTACCTATCTTCAATCCCAGCTTCCCAACCCGTCTTTCTGTCTCTGTTTAATTATAATTAATTAGGTTGCATCCACAAAAAATAATTATAAGCAGAGTTGATAGGCATACAGATGGCCATCTAAAAAAGAACGAGGAAAATTAACTGAACCAGATAAATTCTCATTTGCTGTACTAAGCAATGCATACCTTTGAGACAATAAAATTCTCTGGTGCTGTTGAGACGGCATGAGCCTTTGTCAAAAAGACATTGACCACAACCAGGAGAAGGCTGAAAACTAACATGGAATTCAGAAGTTATGAATGTAAAGGGATCAGGAGAGAAAGCCAGCATATTCACTGGAAGCTGAACCCTTAGACATCTTGCTAAAGGAGCTGGAGGGTCATCCTGATTTTGCGTTCGGAAGTAGATTGCCTCATTCTTACTTTTAGCACATCCTGTATAGTTCAAGAATTGCTTTGAAAGACTCTGATTGAGTGGAGTATTGCATTCGTACATGGTTATATTTGGCCAGATATGAAAGGAACCCAAAGCTGAGTTGGAAGGAAGAGTAATATTGAAACGCAAGGCGTCACAACTATTACTTGCTAAACGCTTCTCCAAATATGCGTCTCTAACGACAACTTCAGGAGGCCACCAGGGTTCTATCTTGATCCTCGTCACTGGAAACATCTTTTTCCCCAATTGCACAGTTTTTTGAGCGTTGGGGTGTTCACAGCCATGAATTGACAATATCCCACAGTTTTTGCGTTCTGGAATGGTCAAAGGGAACCAAAACTTGCCCAGATTCCCACAGTCAAAGAAACTTGGGCACTCATCTTCTGAAGCAGAATGGTCAGCGAACAAGGAGAAGAAGAAGAACAACAACAAATGAAGAGGTAGAACCATTCTTCTGAAACCCACTCTCAGAGAAAAACTTTTAATGTACGAGACTTTGATTGCTTCATCAGGCAATGACTAGCTTGAAAGCTTTATCCGGTTGGGGAATTAAGGTGGCAATTCTTTCACCGTGGAACACACAACCCGAGTTGATGCTCGGTGACACGGCAGTTGACCAAAAGAACTAGGCCTAGGCCGAGACAAAGACCAAGACCAAGACCAAGATGAAGAAGACGAATGAGAGACGCGTGTCCTTCTCTCAACAAAATGTGCTTCAAACGCACTCTCGTCTATACTAATGTTTGGTTCTTAATTACTTATGCTTACAGTTGCAAATATCATCTAATAAATAAGCCAAATAATCAACGGTGCAAGTGTAAAACTAATATCAGGTTTCACGAGGATAAATACAATAGGAAAAAGTGGGAGGCAAAAAAAAAAAAAAAGGATAAGGGATTTTAAATGTGAAAAAGTTAACAGATAAATTAACAATTAAGCAGAAAGGTGAATAATATGGACAAAAGACCTTGACTCAAACCTTTGATAAAGCGTGACGTAAACGAGGAACACGTTAGAAACTCACGAAAAAGCTCGTGTGATAAGTTTCCTGATAAAGAAGCAGGATCCCTCTTCAGATTAGATATGCACATTTGTGTTACTTTTGATCGACATGCCGATACAAGTGAAATGACATCATATGAGGATAGTCTATAGAATGAAGTGGGTTTTTTTTTTTGGAGGGGGGGGGGGGAGTATAACTCAGAATATCAAGGTTGTGTTCTTCTTCTTGTCGGGGATGAAATCACAACATTTTGTTTGCATGCTTATGATTTATGAATATATGCCTTTTATGTTATGTTGCATTTTACAGAACAGCTAATTTTGTAGTTATAACATCTGGTTCTGCAATAGATTCTCCTCAAGTATTAAAGAACGAAAGATGAAAAGCCAGTCAATATTTGCTTCTCTTGCCACTCGATTGTTTTGATGATCTGTACTTATTTGGTTATCTCATTTGCTCATGAATGTTTTGTTGTTTGTCGTATAAGGATGAGATGGATAAATGCAAATAAATAACAAATACACTCATTGGCTTTGCAAATATTCCTTCTTTAACCGTCTCCATGATTTGTACCTGTATAGAATCAACGATTTGGAGTTAGTTAAACAATCTCCAACTGTAGCGTTTTGAAAAGCTTACCTTTTTGCCTCTGTGCTTTTGTTTGAAATAGAGGCTAACGCTCAAATAATTACATGGTATAAAGAATTTATTACAAAAATTCGAAATCCAGAAGCTTCTTTATACATTGAGGTACACTATAGAAAATAAAATATTAATTTTTTGTAATAATGCGTGATCGAGAAAGAAGCAGGGGAATATAAATGAGCATGACAAGTACTCATGATAGCTGCAGAACATGGACCAAGAATTACAAATAGGCTTAAAGATTATTAAACGCTGCAATTTGTTCATTCATTGCTCCATTTCACAGTGACACTATTTGGTGAAGAGGATGACTTAAACAGCTTTGGCGGATCAAAGCTTATTAAAGTCTCCACAGGTCATGTATCAGTACCAACTTTATCTTCCTTTAAGATTAACTGATAGTGTTGACAGGGAGATAAGTAATTGGTTTCTAAGTAAATTAAGTGTCAGTTTTTTTTCTTTGTATTTTCCTTGAATTTATTTTTCTTTTCTAGTTTAGGTTGCTTGCATATCATTAAAATTTCTTTTAAAAAAAAAATAATCTTAATTTTATTTTAATTTTTAATTTATTTTATTTTTTAATGTTTTTTTTTGCGTACCTTGCATTGCATTTTGCATTATTGCATTTGTACTTGAATATTCATTTGTTTTCACACATTGTGGTTCTGAATTTTTTTGTGCATGACCATAGATAAAGAAACCATATTTGACGATCTTGAGTTTGACATACCTTTGAAACAATTTAAAAGGAAAAATAAGAAAAAGAGTCAACAGAGTGATAAGAAGCTTCTTTTAGAGTAGCACATTCTTAGTGTATCTAATCGAACCAAAGACTGCATAAACTTTTATCTATATAACTAGAAGAAAGATGCTTAAAAATGTTGGATAGATTTCATTTCATAACAAAACACTCAAAGAAGTTAGTTTTAACGATTTAAAAAACATGGACAGTAGCATGAATACGAGAATTTTGCATTGTTTTCATGCTTAATATGAATATAGTGACTCTTGTGGGTCACATGTTATTTTGTTGACTTAGGGTCTATTTGGATTGGCGGTGAAAAAAGTAGCTTATTTTCAATCTGAATTTTAAAAAAGTAAGATTGGATAAGTTGAATTGTGTTTGGATTAAAATTTAAAAAAGTTAATTTGTAAAAGTAAGATTGATGTTTGGATTATTATTGAGTAAAAAGTTTGTTTGTAAAATTACCAAAATGAGTACGTATGAGTTTTAATAAATAATAAAACATGATAAAAACAATGATTTAACATAATACAATGAATTTAAATTAATTTAATATAAAGAAGTGAAATTTAATGAGTGAATTAAATTTTAAAACTTTAAAGAAATCATAAAAAATATTTTAAATATAAAGTGAAACATGATTAAAAAATGAATGTACATAATATAATAAATTTAAATTAATTTAATATGAATAAGTGAAATGTAATCAGTGAATTAAAATAAATCAACTATACAAAAATAATAGAAATACTACCATTTTTTGGTTTTGTCTTTTGTCCTGTAACATTTATGAAACACTTGTGTTAAGAGCAAGAAAGGGAAAGAAGGGTAGCGTGTCAATAAGGCATTGGAGATTGGAGACTAAGAAAGCACCCGGTGGGGAAGAGAAGCAGCAGACGGCAGCAGAGAGAAAAAGAAAAGGAGAGAAGCTGCTCCCAATAAATTTTCTAACACGCACGCAACAGTCCCTGAATAAGCTCTTCTCAAACTTGAATAAGCTTCACTTCCTGGCTTAATTTATACAGCACGGTCAACCAGCTTATTTCCATCAAGCCCAATATGTTATAAGCCCTCCCAAACATTAGATCAATTTTTAATTGGGCTTATGTTAAAATTAAGTCACGTTTGGGCCAGCAAACACTGACCCAAACATGCACTTATTGAAAGGGTACAGATAAGGGCTAACTTGCAGCGATTCTTCAAAAGCAGTAAAACATGTAGCATGGACCATCATGAATAACAAAAGAGCTGAGGGAAGTAAAAATAAAATTCAAAAAAAGAAAAAAAAAAGTGCTCCGGGATCAGGCACTAAACAACAACTTTGCCTGACCGATTAATAAAAATAAAAATCGTTTCTAAAAAACAAACGCTAAACACTAATTGAACCACTTCTTATCCACATATTGTTCAGTTCAATTCTTTTAGGTTTCCGTTCTATTCTGAGTAAATATCTAGTCAATTTATATTTGCACACACAGCACTTATAGGAGGAAAAGCAATTATAATCAGGCCAACACTTCCAATGGCTGTACCTATAGGAGGAAAATCCTTGAAAATTTGATCAATTCTTGGAGTATGGCAGCCGTGAACAGATTGTCGATTGACGTAAAAATCTATATACTTTGGGGTGAGGCCTCTCAACACAAACACTCATAAACAACTCCAATCATATATATA